TAATATGGTGCTTACAAATTTGAAAACATACTGTTCACTTCCCAGTCCATACATATATGGAAATAAGCTGCAAATACAGCCAGTTTGGAATTCACTGGTTTTGTGATGTCACAAAAATGAACACATATACATATGTCCACCTATTCAGTCTACTGCACTATGGCTCTGTCCATTCACTGCAAAGTTCTAAGGGGTTTTTCAACTCAGGTTGCTTTTTTTTTTAATGAGGCATAATAAAGGCAGCCAATCAGAGAAGATGTCATTTACATACATCAGTCTTAAGGGCACAGTAAAAAAAAAACAATCTTTAATTCTTTAAAAGGGATTGGAGGTTGGAAAACAGTTATTCAAAAATAAATTATGGTGGTTTTGTATATATATACATATATATATATATATATATATATATATATATACATATAAACTGTAGTGTATGCAAATAAACTGACAAAAATGTTTTAAATAGACCTCAGAAAAAAAATAAAACACAAGAAAAATTATAATATATGGGCCTTTTGATGGAGAGATATAAAAAGGAAGTGAAAAGCATGCTGGCCCAATCAGATAGCCATCGATGAAAAGAGCTTCACTTGGTAACATGATTGCAGTTTGTTCTCAGCAAGCATGTTTTACTGTTAGCTCTGAGGCAGAATCCAACAGTATGAGGCAGAGAAAAGTTCTAATCTATACTGAGGGCTTTTTCTTCACCATCAGTTCTTTCTCCATATTGTCTCTGCGTTTCTTAATTCAGTTCTCTCTCTCTTGGTCTCTCCCCTCTCTCTCTCTCTCTCTCTCTCTCTCTCTCTCTCTCTCTCTCTCTCTCTCTCTCTCGTTTGGTCGCGATCGATCGGTTCTTGGCGGGAGGTCAGCCCTCAGTGGACTCCAGACTCTTTTGTTCACGCTGGCTGCCGCGGCGATCCTGCCTGACCTTGAACACACAGAGGGCTCATTAGGGGCCAAGCGGAGGCCACCTCTCCCCTCCAATCAGACAGGGCCAAAGGTCACTAGAGGACAACCAGGGTCAATGCGGAGACTCCGAGGAGCACTGATGTACCTGAACTGAGAACAGAGCTAGCACATTGTACAGTGTGTTTCTGTACTGTGTCTGTGTCTGAAGTACTGGATGTGGGTCAGTTTAAAGGAACAGCCTAGCATTTTTAACCTAATCTCTGTCTGCTGTATCGGCCAATAAATGACAAAAAACAAGAAAATCGGTATGATAATGCTAATTTATGCTAGCACCCCTAGGAATTTCTAATAGTATATTAGCATTAAGCTAATGGTGGTGCACATGAACAGTTTTATGGTTGTTCTAGACTAAACACAGACATTTAGAGCTTGTTAAGACACTCCCTATATTTACCATACTCATTCATAGTCAGTGATGTATCCAGAACGTCCAGAAGGCCTGGACTGACATTTTTGCTTTTGACATAGGTTCCACCCACTGTAAATCAAAATGTGATTGGTTGATTCCATTGTCGCTTCCTGTTTATCGCTGTTGTCCAAAATGACAACTTTACAGGAAAAGGAAAAAAAAACAACTCTATTTTTAATGTAAGTAAATGGAACCAGACTTTTTTCCAAGTCATTTTGGGCCTTTTCTTTTGGTCCATTCTTCATGAAATTTATACTCAAAAACAAACATGGAGATATGAGGTTTTCAGCAGCGTTATGTTAGTAGATATTCTGCCACATTAGGCCTTCAGTCCAGCTCCTAAAGTCCTAACCAATGGGAAAGCTCGCTTGGCTGTAACCAAGACACCATAGAGAAAAAATCCTGATTTTTCGTTGGGCACTTCAAGAATTTAACATTTGGTTTTCAACCAACTTAACAATGAAATAAGAGTAGTACTACAATATGTTTCAATACAACAAGCAAAATGGTTGTGTTATATAAAAATGAACTATATTTATAAAAATACAGATTTTTGGAGAACATCTGGATGAACTTCTTATTAAACTACATTAATGCCCATAATATGCCTTTGTCAGTTTGCTTTTCTATTCTATTATATGTAATACATCTTCAGGAAGGATCCACTTTATTTGTAGTACTGACCATACTCTCAAATAGAGATATAATCTGGAATAATCTAGAGCTAATCTCAGCATCTTTCAGATTACACAGCAATGGAATCATGCTAAAAATACAAAGGGAGCCCAAATCCAATTGCACCATTGCTTATGACAGTCGTACAGATGTTCACCAAAAAACTGCCCAGCCATTTACCTTCATGTGAAAGGGTATTTGTTGGTACTGCAAGGTGCTGTTATTTTTGGGAAACTCATAGAGTAAAATCCTTCTGCACAATAAGGGATGTACTGAAAAGGTAACGGCCGACCAAATGGAAGCAAACATGGACAGAAGGGAGAAGAGGAAGGAGAGAAGGCTATTTGTTTTGAGTTGATAAAACAGAAAGACATTCGGAGCATGTTTTGATTGTTCGCTTCCCTGAAAGCATTGCTTTGGTCTTGCTGTCAAGAGCATTACAAAGAGAGAATGTGTGTGGGTGCCTGTGTGCGCACGCATGTATGTGTGTGTGTCAGGAACATTACAGCAGTAAAAGGAAAATCAGTCTGAACTGCCTGAACTTGGTCAAGCGGAGGAGAGAGGAAGACAGATGTCAAATATAACAGACCCTGAGTAAACAGCTAGAAACAAAAGGGGAGAGAGAGAGCAAGAGAGAGAGAGAGAGAGAGAGAGAGAGAGATCTGATAAACTGGGAAAAGAAGAGCATAAGCTCTCTCTCTCTCTCTCTCTCTCTCTCTCTCTCTCATGAATAACATAAGAATCCTTCCATCAGGTCGTAAAGATAGAACGGCAGTAGCAGAAATGGAGGCAGGAGTATGTTTTACTGAAACACAGCAATATCCTTCCCGTTCTTTTATGCCTTTTCCATTTTCTAGCCATTTTCCGCAGGGAAGAGATGCGAATTACTGTAGTTTTTTTCCCCGGGACTTGCAATTTTTTGAGTATTTTTAAATCACAGTACTTTTGCTTTTACCTGAGCTCACTCTGAGCGGAATATTTATCTTTTTACTCCACTAATGATCACCGTTTCCATGTGAGTCTACAGTCTGAGTGCTTATAGCCACCCTATGACCTTCTATATCTACAGCAGGACGGTCAGTCTTGTAATTTGCACCATAAAGGGCTGGGAATTAAAATCGAACACTTTTATAGTACAGAATGAATTACTTCAACATGACAAGAGTATCGAAATACCCAGAAGGATAAACGGCTTAGAATGTGTGTGTGTGTGTGTGTGTGTGTAAGAGTATCGACATATCACATCATTCAATACCAAAGAACCTGAGCGGTCAGTCTCATTAGCATCAGTGAATTAATAAACATGTTCATTTCATGCAGATTTAGCAGCTACCATTATTATTAATATTTTATTTTATTATTATTTTTTTCACTGTGGGAAAACAAAACATGCCACCCTTTAGCCTGCACTGAACCACATTAGTACATTATTAAACTAGCTTTGGTTTACACTCTTTTTAAAACCACCATAATGTTCGGAAGACTGTAAGAGAACAATCACAGATCTCCAACAGCTGTCCTTCATCTGCCCAAGGTTCTCTTTAGCACAGCTCTAAATTTGGATACAACACTCATCTGAGGCTTGTTTAATCACATTTTCCCAGATTAGCAGCAAAGACACATCTTTGGGAATCTTCCCATAATGCCCTGCTCTGACGTCAAAAGCAGAAACTTCCTGAAGGCTGTTCACTGAGGAAATCTGTGTGTGTGGATTCAGTTTTCTTCAATAATTAAAAGGACTCGCACAGATAAGGATATAGACAATGTTCTTCATAGATAAGGAACTTTATACGTGCCTGACATCAGTGAATGCAAAGCACGTTTAGTTGTGAATGTACTAGAGCCCTAGCGGTGTGAACATTTTGTGGCTGACTGATTTTAAAGGGTTAAAAATTCTGACAATATCAGCTTATATCATTTTATAAACATATATTTCAGATTTTAATTTTATACCTTCTTCAGTTTTAGTTAAACAGCGTTTGACTGAGTGATATGGCTGTGATTTGTTTGTCATATGAACTGCAAAACATGTCAGTTCTAAATGGTCATGTTTCTCAAACTCAAATAAACAGTACAAAGGCAGTACAAAGTTTTCAATAATATAAATATTGCAGCACTGGGGGTGGAGATACCCTGAATTCTTGACAGAACCGATTTTTGTTTTTCATGTCTTATTTCTCTTATTTTTAATTCATTCTTATCATCGAAAAATATAATTTTGCCTTTTTTTCATTCTGTGATGCTGCGACCAAAAAAATTATTTTGCATTACAAGTGACATTTTCACTGATACCAGTTAAACCACAGGCCATCAGTATTGGCCAATATTAACAGCTAACCAATATATCGGTCAGGCTCTAAAATGTACTTTCAATACTTAAGCAACAATGCTGGGAAATTCATACAACTTATGTGTAACCCTCTTTCTGCAGGCCTCCTAGAAATTGACTATTTGCATATTTTTATTAATACAGTAAGATAAAATAGGTCAGTTCAAAAGGTAATCTAAACTGAGAACTTCCAAAAAAACCTGAAACTGCATTACATTAATAGCCATCTAAAAGGCAATAGGCAATATTTTCATGACTTTTAAGAAATGTGTGCATGATGGACTGAGAGGATGAGAGAAGTAGAAGATCTCTCTCTCTCTCCCTCTCTCTCTCTTTCTCCTTCTGTTTGTTTAATAGAGGAGAGATACAACTAATTCAGCAAATCCCCAAACACAAACACAACCATATGCCCTACCATGTGTTCCTCACAGCTGTGTGTGTGTGTGCCCTAGCCGATGACATCATGCATTCATTGACATCTTTTTGAAAAATTAACATTCGCATGAGAATTCTCCACTTACTGAGAATAATAGAGAATTTCCCACAAGGCCGTACTGTATCATACACCATGTATCAAACTGCACAGTAGTGTGTGAAAATGAACTGAAAAGGACTTACCTGACTCGGGGAAAGAAACTCTTGGTTGTTTTCATTCATGTACATGTTTTCACCATCAAACTGGAGGGGAGAGGAAGAGACAGAGAGAGAGAGAGAGAGAGAGAGAGAGAGAGAGAGAGAGCGTTGGTCAGCCAGAAGTGCTATTTATATAAAAATAAACTAGCACAACAGCTTTAGCATATTGCAAATTATTTAATAATCTGGATGACACTCTTGTCAAGTGTGACTAACAGTTTCATCATGTAGGTGAAAGTGTCATTAGGCATCTTGCCCAAGGACCATTGTTAGTGCATGGTGTGAAATAGTGCATGATGTGCTTGTCCAGGCAGGGAACTGAACTCCAAGCAGCCACATGGAGGGAAGCGGTATGACCCACTATACTCTAACTGCTGTTTGTCTTTTCCAATACTGATCACGATGTCATATCATCGCTGTTGGAACAAAACCTTATCTACCTTAGACTCACATCTTGCATATATGGAAATGTGTACAACTGTATGTATTATAGCTTTTATTTCATAACTTATATTACTGCACAAAAACTGTATATTGGAATAGTGCAACAATTGTGTATACTAATGTGTATAATGTATATGTATATATTTAATGAGTCTACTATATATATATATATATATATATATATATATATGCAGTAGGGGCTACACACCTTAGATTTTCACTCACTTTCACACCTGTGTAAATGTGATGTGACAATAAACGTGATTTCACACAGTTTCAGGACGGATTTGTTACAGGACTGGATTGAATCCATTCTTTATTTCCCTCTCTAATATCTGATTCAGCATTTTCTTCTGATATCACCACCATACTGATACCCATCATCGATACCAATACCATCCATTACACAGTTGTACGCAAAAGTTAAATGACATGTTTTGTTGATTTTCTAAGTAAAAACAGATTAACATTTCCTACTAGCAACAAACTTAAATAAGGCATTTTTCTGCACATTTTAGTGCACAATTTCTATTTCTTTGCTGAATTTAACATAAAGGGAAAAAACACATACAGCCTAAAATAACTATAGCATAACCTTTGCATAGGCCAAATTTTATGTTATTTATTTCCAATACACAGGAAAGAGTAATTGTGCATTAAAATGTGCAGAAGTGCGTTCTCTGCAGAGGATGTCTACTTCTTTTTCTGCTGAAAATCAACAGGTAATTTGACCAGGGGCACCCAAACTTTTGCATATGACCATACATACATGGAGAGCGACCAACAGACAGAGAGAGAGAGAGAGAGAGAGAGAGAGAGAGAGAGAGAGAAAGAGAGGGAGAGAGAGCCTGACTTTCTAAGAAGCTCCCATAGCTCTGCAGTTGTAATTACAGTTCATTAGCTAAGGGGTAATTAGGCCAGTCAGGGGTGTAGATGAACAATGTGTGTGTGAGTGTGAGAGAGAGAGACACAAGTGTCACGTGAGGTGACTGCAGGGGGTGTCAGAAACATGGAAGCGTTAATTACACCAGCAGAGCCTAGTGTCACACACACCCCCCCACACCCACACAGCACAGTGCAGCTAAGAGGGCAGAACGGCCTTTAGCTCCATCGCTCGCTCCCACGGCAGCCTCCGACACAGCAGGGCGATCCAGTCAGCACGCCTGCGTGTGTGTGTGTGTCTGCAGGCATCCAAGTGTGTGTGCGAGTGTGTGTGGTGTGTGTGTACGCGCGAGACAGGGAGTGATTAACACTCTCGCTTTGGCCAGAACACACATCTTGGAATGTCTCAGCCTCCTCAGCCTCTCACCAGGCCGGGTGTGAGTGAGTGTGTTCCAGCAGTTGTCTGCTTGTGTTTATTATGTAATTTGCAGGCAAAGCTCAAGATTACAGATATTAGCCAAAAACAGCAGCACTTTTTTTTCTTTCTTGGAGAGATTAACTGATAGAACAGGTGCACAGAGAGAAAGTACAGCAAGTTAACTTTGAGAACTCTCTTTAAAATAAAGCCTACACTTTTAATATTCAGCTGAAGCCCAAGCTTATGATTCAGACTCTATTATTCAGTAATACTCTATGTATTTGCAGAGATGCACCAATCAAGAGCTTTAAGGTCGATTCCAATTCCAAAATTGACCAAAGCCACATGGGTCAATTTTTTTGGCAGTTTTGTATTTGCTTTTATATTGCATTTATTGTATTATTTATTATATTTATATTTTATTTTATTATTTTTAGATTAGCCAAAGTTACAACATGAATATAATTATTAACTCTTTAATGAGCCAAATAAAGTGTTACATCGGCTATTTAGCATTTGTGCATAATTATGCTATGACTTTTTGGTAAATACAGCATGAGTGCACTTACCTGGCTCACATTATTTACATCACAAAACTGCAACACAGATCAGAAAGTAAAACTAATAAGTTGTTTAATAAAAAAGGTTTGGCCGATTCTGACTGCGTGTCCTTGGTTATTTGATAACTACTATGACGCTGTTGTCGGAACAAAACCTTGTATATCCATTTTTGTCATGATTCGGTTTTTGACATTATGTAAAAGTACCTGCTGCCCTTTCATGAATTTCATGATGACTGGACCAACAGAAACAGCTTAAATGACTTGGAACAAATTCTGATTCCATTGACTTGCATTAAAAGTAAACTATGTTTTTTCCTTCTCCTGTAAAGTTACTATTTTGGAGATACAAGGTTTCGTTCCGACAGCAGCAATGAAACTAAAATGTGGGATTAAAAAGTGGGATTGGGAACCCCTGTTTAAGGTGTTAGGCATTATTGCAACGTTTGCCTTTGCAGAAGCGATACCGCAAAAGCTTGCAATATGCAAAAGAGCCATTTAAAGTTTACCGCACACCGGACGTGCCGCATCGTGCACCACCAACATTCAGCTAGCATGCGTCATTGCTCAGAGGCTTCCAGTACGGCTCAATTTCTCTGAGCACTGCTCAGTGTTTTGCCATCACTGCTTTGAATTAAATCAAGAATGAAACTACAGAAATCAATGATGAGTGACACGTGGCTTGAAACGTACACAGTGAAACACAGTCAATCTAAATTATTTAGGATAAAGAGACAAATACCGATTATCTGTTACTTCAGCTTACTTTACTAACCCAGTCAGTTTCTCACCTCACGTCTTTTAGCTCGAAAACAGCACGTTTGTGAAGAGTTTGTTGGCTGATATCAAAAGTAAAAGGAAATAAATTCACTAAACGATGTGGAAAGTTTTATCCCATTACATCTAAATGAGTGGCATGTAAAATGATGAAAATGATATCAGCAACATGGGGAACATTACATGTCATGATACTTTTCACATATTTATCACAATATTTTGTGATATTTTTGCACCTGACACATTCTTTGTGATACAGTATATGCTATATACAGCGCACACTGTATATAGCATATCGCTGCTGTCGGAACAAAACCTCATATCTCCATCTGATTTTTCAGTTTTTTCGACATAATATGAAAAATCACCCTTTACATTGTGTATAAATTTCATGGACCACAAGACCACAAGAAATGGTCTGAAATTACTCGGAAAAAAGTCTGGTTCCATTGACTTACATTAAAAGGAAAGTAGGTCTTTACTTTCTCTTGTAAAATGGTTCTGTTCCAACAGCAGCGATATGCTATATACATGCTACTGCCTTAACCCTACATCCCATATGTGCCCTATATGTGCTCTAGAAGCATCCTTACAAAATCATGTTTTCCAGTAAATGTAAAGAATCATTTTGGTCAAAGTAATGAGAGGCTGACCTTACATCTTATCAGACCTCATGCTTTATGTTTTCAGCGGCACATTCACAGACTTTGGCTTTGTTCCTTTTAACTCATTAAAATCTGCCCCTAGGGTAGTTACGACACGTGACCAGGTCTGTCACAGTAAAATGGATCGGCATGTGGACACTTACTGAGTGCTACTGTGCTTTCCATCACTGTATAAAAGCAACACCATGCTGCCTTTACTGTTAGATGCATTGCAAATGTGGGAGCATGTTCAGAACAGAGCTCTGCTCAATCAGGGTAGCGACGTAACGTGGAGTATATTTCTATGCTTCCATCCTTTCTTGCTTAAAAGGTTTTCAGCTCTGTTAGATTATGTTCTTTACATACTAAATAAATGCAACAGCAGAATCGAGACATCATGTTATTAATGCTGAAGAGCAGATTAGTGTAGATGTACTGACCCTACAGGATTAACTACTTCACTACAAGGACTGTGTTTATATATTGCAAGTCAAATCACAATCACAGTAAACAGCAGTGCAGTCACAACACAGTATTTTGTCCATACAGTGCAGCCCTACTTACTAGTACATGTAAATGTAATTAGGGTGAGAGAGGCTCTATAAATAGACAGAAATGTGTCTGTGTGTGTGCATAAGAAAAGACCACAGCTGCTTTGGCACAAGTGCGCAGCTACTGTAGAACAGTGTTTCGCTGTGTTTCTTCTCAGGTGTCCTGACACTTCTCAGTTTCATAAGCCAGAATCTGAACTGCGGCTCTGAACCGCGAGTGTGTCACTGGAGTGCAACACCTTGAAAACAAGATGGCTGCCACGAGCAACTTCTCTTAAAGAAAGCTGCATGAACTGGTACACGTGTGTGTGTGTGTGTGTGTGTGTGTGTGTGCGTGCGTGTGTGTGTGTGTGTGTGTGTGTGTGAGTGAGTGTGTGCTCATGTCTGGTTTAAATTTAGTGCTTGAAATGAGAACAGTACCCCATTACAATCTCTCTCTCTCTCTCTCTCTCTCTCTCTCAATCCAACAGTCTGTTTTTCTTTCAATGTCTCTTTCTCTCTGTCTCCCTTTCTCCCTATATCTCTATATCTACTTCTCTCTCTCTCTCCCAATTTCTACCAGTCTCCCTCTCTCCACGTCTCTCTGTCTCTCTACCTGTCTTCCTCTCTCCATGTCTCTCTCTCAGTGTCTCTCAACCAGTCTCCCTCAGCCTCTTTCTCTCAGTGTCTCTCTACCAGTCTCCCCCTCTCTCTTTCTCTCTGCTCTCAAACTCACTGTCTTTCTCTCATTGTCTCTCTCTGTCTCCCTTTCTCCCTGTCTATGTCTCTG